CAAAAAAATAAAACATACTAAAAGTAACTTTCAAATGTTGTGTTCTGTTGATCAATCAATTATGCAATCGTGATTACAGGTTCCATTTGAAACACCAAAAAAAGCATTGCATTGTATGGAATCTGGGTTATGCATAGCGTCAATTAATGACGTATGAAGGTCACAGAAAATTTGTCTGACAGAAAGTGGTCTGACAAAATAATGAAATGGAAAATAAAAATGATAATAATGATGATGAGTGTATAACCAGTTGCATTATAACAGTAACAGAACAACGTTAACATAACAGAACAACGTTAAAACTCATGCAGATAGCGATAAGACCATCGGTAAGCCTGAATGAACTGTAGGTTCCATGCAAATTTTTCAACTGGAAATTTTTCATTTTCAACAGTCTACCTCACTCCACATTCATTAACGAAGTGCTACGCCCAAGGAGCTGGTTTTGTAAGATGCTCATTGAGTAATAGATGATCGAAACTGAATAACAGATCAAAATTTGAAACGAACCATCGATTATCAAAATATATAATAGTCTATATAAAACGACATTATGGAAAGCTTATGGGTTAACAAACAAAAATTGATGCATTTGAGATGCTTGAATGGTCCAGTTGAATGCTACTTGAATCAGGCTTATTATGAGGCTTGAAAAAATGACCACAACTAGTAACTACGTGAGATTTTGCATTTGTCAGAATTTTAAGCGATGCCATTCTAAATGAATCATTCGTTGTGATTGATCCATTAAGAAATTTATTTCATTAGACTGATTCACTCACGATCACCATCATCATTCTGAACACAGAAATTGATTCAAATAAAATGCATGATGACCTTGATACTTTCGAAAGAATAAAATGTAAAAACTTTTATACCAGTGGTGTAACGTTTTTCTGTCTACGAGTACACTCATTTAGTGTAAAGGAGAATTTTTTAGCTCATTCCCATTGAAACTAAAATTTCGAAGTGGAATTCTCTGCAAATGAAGATTCGATGTCAAAGAACGGATATGAACCCTCTTCCGCCGTCGTTTGTGCTAATCATCTCATTCATTCGATGAATAATCGTGCACTCAATGTCCTTGACATAATTCAATTCATTTAGCTGAGCCGCCATTTCATCACAGAGCCAAACTCTAAACACTTGCTTTGTGTGGCAACAAAATGAAAGTAAAGCAAATAAGTCCATTTTCAAATTACCCATATATTCACATCCACCCATCAAGCGAATGTTTTCCTAAAACCATCAGGTTCAGCAGGAATTCTGATATCAGACGAGTGTAAATGCTGCTGGCGAAAAAGTGTAATTTCAGAAACTCGACTGAATTTGCAAAGGTATAACATTCAGTTGAACATTTTCATCACAGCGTCAAAACATACAAGTTTTATCTCTGGGTCGTTCAGATACGCAAAACAGCCGTTTTATCGACGGATGACATCCAAATCTCGACATATAACTGAATCATGAATTGTATTACCTTGCCAAATGTATGCTCACGCTTAGCAATTGATCGAATTATCCTTTCGCCTTAACGGATTCCGATTTTTTCGAGTATTAAAGAAGCAGCTGTTTTATCGACGGATGACATCCAAATCTCGACATATAACTGAATTTCTAAAGGAATTATCAGGCTCAGTGATGTACTAGTCTACGATTATCATGTGTGCGATTGATGGACCATATCTAGATCAATAAATGCTTAAAGATCTGATCTAGCAACCAGACCGTCTTGAATAACATTTACAGTCGTATAAGGAACTGAGCCAATGTCGTTGTTTAGCACGCAAAAGCTAACGTTAGACGACTTTATCCACTCAACCATATGCATCATGGTGAAAATTCTTTCGGTTCTATGCAATCTAGCTCAAAACTGCTGCATATTCAGTGTTCAAACATATTATGCACGATGAACCATATCAGCCAATGATGAACAAATTTTAAACTCGTAAAAATATAAAATTCAAGATTAAACGATATAGTCACTGAATCACAACGAACGATGATCAATTTTTGGATGGCTGACTAAAAATGCTGAATGGAGCCGATTAAATTAATCGAGTGACCTTCATCAAACAAGATTCATTTGCATTTTCGTATTGATCAACTTTTCGTATAGAATATCGTTCGTTAAGCCAGCTACCTCCAATATTCTTCATGTGATCCTTCCAACAACATTAACTGTAGTTTTTATCTCACTATCAATGTTTCAAGCGTGTTCATTTGTCAAAATTTGTCGTAATATTTTCATGTGATATTCGTGATGAAGTCAAACAATGTTCACACACTAAACCAATATGTCTTCAAACAATTCAAGCAATTCATTATAAATGAACAAATTAATTTCCTTTGGAGAATTTATTTTCAATATTAATTAGTTTTCATTGAAAATGATTCGTGTCAATCAAGTGCGCTCGGTGGGGGGTAATCGAAGGAATAATTTCAGAGTGAAATGCGCTATCATACGGCAATACTGTGTTGGTTTTTTGGATTGAGTTTAGGATGTAATTTCGTGGCGGATCTTGTATCGGATACAGAAACGCCGTTCTATATTGAAGTCATTTTCTTCAATGAAACTACTTCTCCACTGTAATTCTTTGCAATATTTTCTATTGTTTTTTTTCGCTTCAAGTTAAATTTTTCACTTCAGTTTTGAATCATCCAACTGTAGAAGAGATGGAAAAACGTATTGGTTAAAAAGGGGGTTCGGGTGTAAGACGCCTCAGAGTGTCACGAAATTAAATCACCTCTCTCCATTCTAGTAACAAGAAAAACTCCTAAAATGCCCCCATACTCGGTACTTTCTTCACTTCCAAAGTTGATGAGAACTAAAAAGTGAAGAAATTCGTGAATATTTTATGCAAAAAATTATTTACTCACAGTGTAATTCTTTTTGGCATTCAAGGTTCACTCATCAGTGAATTCAAGGAAATTTAGGATGATTGCCCTCACTGGATTGCAGTTCGCTCCCCAGTCCACTTATAAGGGAATTAGGACACTATAAGGGAATCAATGTCTTTGAACTGAACATTTGCATTACAAATCTCTTGTAAGTCTAATAAGGGATTCGAGTTGAGTGACAAAGTGCAATCAAATTTTCTAGAATGCATATGGAAAAGGGTGATACAAAGAGATTATTGATCGTTGGTGAAGAGTGCTATAGCGAGCTAACGATCGTTCGCGTCTATGAAGATACTGGCTCTGGAAAGTCGGATGACTATTTTGAGACTTCTAGTTATCTGGGTGGATCTGGTATACTGAATTATGTTGTATGTTATTACATTTTATTCGACAAGTAAAATCTTTTCCACATAATTCGAACTTTCCAGTCCAAAGTGGATCAAAAGTGGATCAAATTGTTCCAATATCATTGATCAAAACTTTGATCAATGATATTGGATCAAAACTGTGCCGAAGCCATGGTAGAACTCCAAAAGTTTTGTTTTAATTTTCACTCAGAGACAAACAGTCCTGATGAAGTCTCCAAAAACATCAGAGAAATACACCGATCATATTGTTCCATTCAATTTCGGAAAATCCCACTCCTAATATCTATAAAATGATCTCAATCGACTCGGAAAAATTCATTTTTGTCGTGATAAATTCAGTGAAACTCAAGTTTTGACTAACTTTTCCAGGTGACCGATGGCTTGCAGCCACGAATGAGAATGCGTGCAGGTGTTTTTTGTGGGTTTGGTGATTGCGGTCATGGATAGTCACCATGAAGATTTTAATAACTACCTCTGTGATATCAATCAACTGAACCAGAACTCTTTTGCCCAATATGCTACCTCACTTGAAGTCTTTCAGTTCAGCACCCTAGATGGATGCATAAACTCATTTCGTTATTATGCAATATGATAATGAGGTGATCTATCCATCTATGGCTATATTACATTATATAATAACAATTGCAATAACATTATGATAACGGTTGTTATCATTAACATTTTATCCGTTGTCACAAGAAGGTACCTGTTTTTATTACATAATTCAGCAATTTCTCGATGAAAGCGAGACCTGCAGCCTCTATTTATCTCCTTATTTTTAGACTCGTTATCGCTTCAGAGAATCAAATCGTTTTGAAGGGATAACAGAATAATGTTGATTAATCATACACTGCACGCGTATTATTTTTCTGTATTAATGATTAAACTGAATCTCAGTTAACTAAATCCATAATAATAAATAAATTAAATTCCTTATACATTAGTATTCGTCGATTGTATTGTTCACATTCGTTGTAGTCATTAATCTTATTAGCGAATTACAACAAGCAACTGAAATTCGACAACGAAATGGTTTTTAGCACCATTTCCAAATTCACTATAGTGAATTCAATTTCTGTAAGATAATTGGACTGAACAGCAGCTCAAGTAAACTCTTCAATGCGAATTTTGCATATTCAACCCATATTCACCAGCAGATTTAGTGAAGGGATTGAGAAATAGCTCCTCACAAGCTTTCCAGCGAAACTTGATCAAGACATTACTTGGTTCTAGAATCATGCATATTATCTGATTCTTTCAACTAACGAATTTCAACCACAAAGAGCCCGAGACGGTAGAAGTCCTCTGACGGTAGAGTTTCAGAAATCGCCCATTAACAGCGACTTGAGAACATGTTAAAAGATGTTATGCTCGTCTCGTTCTAAACTGACAAGTTTGGAGTTGATCTTTAATACTGCAGGATTATCCGGTGGATAATATAGATGGCTTAATCAAGCTCATGAGCAATCGAAAGCATGATCGATTACAAAAATATGTGTCACGCAATACTCCATGTTTTCATGCGATATACATCGCTCCTATAGTTGCATCGTACGAGCGAGCGTTTCCTCACTAAACGAGTTACTGCGAACGGATTACAGTGGCTTTTTCGAACCTCACGAATGTGATTGATGCCAACCGCGATAACAGCGCATTCTGTTAGTCAGCTGATTCATCGGTTTGTTTTCAGCCGTTCGTCATAAATATTTCTCGTTGTAATAACGGAGTCATCGAAAACACAGCGGAGAAACCAAGTCTTCTGATTAAACCCAGTTGTTTTTATGTGAAATTGTGCGTTCCACCATTGCTCTGGACAGCTTGGCCTGTTTCTGTGATAATATCGCGAAATCATAGCCTCTTTTCGTGTATAATTTAAAACGAAATAACGAGAACAGCCTATCAATTTGAGTTGAATTTTCAGTGTTGCATCTTGCCGAATCATTAGTGGAGTGATATATACAAGATTACCAGTCATTCTTCCGAGTGAATATAGAGGCGTTGTAGTAACATCGACAGATCTAACTGCGCATGATTCCATACATTGCCTATAAGCACTATCAAAAGAAGAAGCAACAAGCGGCTTCGATGGCAGAAGCTTCGGCCAATTCGAGTCTTATCGACTTCACTGATAGCAATGGTAGCCTAACATCATCACCTCAAGTTTCGCTTCTGTTCAATGAACGAGTACGCTCCTTATTCGATATTATCATTTTGCTTACCAAACATTTCGATTACAAACAGTATTTTGATACATTAGAAATGATTTGATTTAAGAAATGGTAGTTTATCACTGCATCAAGTTGTATTTCAAACTGAAGATGCAGAAAACCAAAAGTTCAGAGGAACTTTCCTAAATCTAAGGTCTAAAATGAGTGAGTGAACTGATTTGTCGACTACCACTGGATGAAGTAACGAAGGTATGTTTGGTCCATATTAGGGTTCAATTACAGGAAGCGTTCTCGTTGAAAGGTGTCGCGGCAAAACGCATACTCGAAGGTGAAGAAAGTGCAGAGGAGTGGTACGTGAATGGCAAACTATCGATAATTGAAAAGGTGTGCAGTTAAAGTCAAATGCTGGAATATTTGCTTCATAGCACCAGTGAAATTCGAATCCCGATATTAATTGAAGATTCGCGCTCTGGAAAGACGCATGCACTAAGCTTTAGACTATTTGTTCTTTAAATTTAAATACAAAGATCAATTCTGGTTTTTACTGGTTTCCCTCTTTCGGAAAAGGACTGGGTTTCTCATACTTAGATGGAAATAAATACGTGTCAAATTTTTACTTTTTCGAATGGATTTGACACGAATGTAAGTAAATCATTTGATATATGCCTAGCAGAAAATTGTTTGGACATTGCATAAATTGTGCAGGCTCATGGAATAATGATTGAATGGGAACCAGTCGAAGAGGATGGTTGGGTGTTGACGAATGGTGACGATACAGCAGATGCAACCCTATCGACATCACCGACTGTCACAGGTGATGCGGCTGCAAGAACACCACCACGAAACAGCGTTGGTGGCACAAAACTCCAGTTCTCGGTTGATATTAAGGATCTACGATCGTTCCAATGTGTGGAACCGAAAAAAGGTTGAATTCGCCATTTGCTTGGATTATGCCCAGCTCATTTTCCGTCTGTCATTTTATATGCAGTATAATATTTTTACCTGAAAAGAAACTGTAATAGATCCTTAAATCACAACTTTTCCCTGGTAGAAGAACACAAAGACGAGACTATGAGTCTAGTAGATTCATTCTGTCAATCAGAATATTTTGGATCAGATTCGCAAAAGATGGGTTGTGATAAGATTTGGGCAGTTCAGAAAGATCTCTGAAAGATTTTTGGGATGTTTACTAGTGATTAGCTGAAAAACCGTATTTGCTGGTACACGAAAAGATAGAAAGAGTCGAAGTATGGTGTGAGATGAAAATGAATAAGTGCAAATACATTTGAGGTAAAGGATGTGCATGGATTCGTTTCATCAGCAAAGACGGTACCAACTATATACCGTTGTATTTCCGTCATGGAGGAATTTCATCGTTTGTGGAGCATTTGCAAAGGTATACGCGAGTTGTGGCTCTTTTTTTAAGGGCATTAAGAATTCCTTCAAATGATTTAAAGATAAGAATCAGTGAATGATTTGTATGTTGTCTGTCAAGAGATGTTGAAAGTGTTCGTTGCAAGTTTTGAATTTGAAATGTAATTGTTAAGATTCTACTGATTGTTCAGGTACGCAACATTGAAACGTTCGGCACGTGAGTCGAATCTCGTGCTGTTCACCGATGAAAGAATTGAAGCTCTCGAGCAATCGGTTTCAATTCTCAATTTGAATAGTGACTTCTTTTCGGTTAGCTTTGTGCGCTTTATACTTTATATTTTTGGTTGGTTTTTATATCACTTTTCGTGAATGTAAAAACTTATGACGTTGAGATAGTTTCAGCGTATGGTGGCAAATCCATATGCAACGGCAATGACTGGACTCGGGAAAGTTGCTTCATTCGTACAAGATCAGGTGCGTCTTTTTAGAATGAGGAAATTTGATCGCATATTTGTCTGTTATTGGAAATTTAATTGTAGTTTTCTTTTTCGTATTATGTGAATTCAAGTTTCTGGTATGAATTTAAGCTCATCTTTTCTTCAGTATGAACAAATGTGAGCTTTTCAAAAAATATTTCGTGTTGATTTACTGATTCATTCTTGAATATAGTTATAATCATGGCGCTCACATCGTTCTGATGAGGTTGATACTGTGAAACAATGTCTTATACGTATTATTTGCATTGCGACATAATCATATGATAAAATCCTCTTCTGTTAGCGCTTTTTATTCCACATTTGTGTACATTTATTGCGTGATAAGGTTGTGCTATTTTTGTTGTTTGATTTGGGAGTGTTTGGTGTTTAACATTTTCATGAATCAAATGATTTTCAGGTGATTCCGTCACTGCTGGAATCAGATGAGGTAAGTGCAGAAGAACAAATCAGGGCAATGCGAGAACTGAGAGAAAGGGATGAGAAGACTACGGAGGATTTGAGGTGATTTTTTTGCAGCAAAGGATTGTATCTTTGAGTTTGTTTTGAAGTTGGATCAGCAATCGGTAAATGATTGTGATCACTGAAAAGTTCTGAGGGTAATCGTTCTGATAACAATTTTAAGAAGAGGGGCGAATACTTCATCTGTAGCAAGATGATGACAGTAATGAAAATGATCCTAATGGTATTGCTCATGTTTTTCTTTCTGAATTGTTTACTTTTGTGGATGTTGATAAACTTCATTTTTCATTTGAAGGTTGCATGATGACGCTGGATTCGAGCTGGTCACTCGGCTTGAGCTACCAGAGCGTCCGCACTTCAACAGAGAAGAACCAGTTTCGGAGGAAATTTGGAACAGCTATAAGTAAAGTTTTCGCCTAAAATTTTTGCGGTTCTTTCAAAGAATCGGTTTATTTTCAATTGAGTAACGTAAAGTTTTGCTCATACAATGGTCTGCTTTATTCCGATCGATGCCTATCATAGTTTCAGTGTGAACATTTCATGAAAATTGATCGAAAAATCCGATTTGCAGGAATCCAGACGGTTCATTCCGCGATCTTCATTCACTTAAACAACTCATCTTCCGTGGTGGTTTGAATTCAGCACTGAGAAAAGAGGCCTGGAAATACCTACTGGGTGTTTACGATTGGACGAAATCAGAAGCTGAAAACGCGGCTGTAAGTTGTTCTCTTAGCTTTTCAAAATGTTCTCTCTGGACGGCTTTGAGTTAACTGAATTGAGCATTTTCAGTCGAAAAAGAAACACATTGACGACTACTTCCGAATGAAATTGCAATGGAAG